AGAAAATGATAATTCCCATTTTGATATTTTAATACCATAATGTCGGAAATTTAGATTTTACTTTCTCTATATATAACCTTGACATATTTTTCTTATGAATTTACTTTTTTTCCTACAGTGCCACCCATTGGGACGTTATATCAGGACTCTGCTGGGTAGAGACAAACAACATGGGCATTCAGGCATGAGTGTCTATGCAGGTCACTTCAGTTCTCAGTTCTTCTTCAGTTGTACAGGTAGACTCCTCGGTGCGCAACAGATTCACTCACAAACATTTGTACAATTCTCTTAAAAAGATCATACCTCAGTCGCAGCTTAGGCGTGATCTAGAAAACTTGTCAGAGCAATTGTGAGCGAGGAGGAGGACTATAACTCTAGTGCAATTCCTGATACATTCTTTTCACAGGTGTTGGGAGCAGATGTGGGAGAATAGTGCAGCAGATTAATGTTTCATTCCCTCTGCTTGTGCTGCGCCAGTGAGGAGTCGTAAAGCAGTGGAACATGAGCTACAGAGAGACGGTAACAAAAACAGGATTCTTCAGGCAAAGATGTTATATTTAAAACATCCATAGAAGTTGTCTAAAAAAAATGAATAACCCAAATTTCTCCTCTATTTAAAATTGAGCCTTTTTAGACTCGTCTTCTCTTTTCCTAATGCAACAATGAATGAATTAAAAAGGTGAGGAGCTTTGTGAATAGCCTTTATCTTAACCAACATTTAGTCTCACCTGTGAAGGCACATGTTTACAGAAAGCATGATCTAAAAGGTTTCCTTATTATTTCATCAATAGGTGCGGCTGAGTTTTGCTCCAGGTTGTTTTGATTTGGGAGTGTTCAGTTTCCAGAATGTCTACTCAGACTGCTTATAGCATTACACTCATACAAGCCTGTGACTTTCCAACCAGGTGAGAGGGCAACTCTCAAGAGTTGCAAAGAAAAAGCCCTGAATTTTAAAAACCCAGATGTAAAACACATAAACGTTTTCTTTTAAATTTTTAACTACATTAATACATTGATGCTAATGACTTTCCTACACCTTTTGGCAGCTGCTGCACGCTGATCACAGCGTCTGGATCCACTCCAGCTCCTGTACTGGACTGAAGAGTGGAGAAGCCCTCAAGTTAAGTGCTGCTCTGTCCATGCACTTCATCAGTCTAAACATCTAGACGTTTTACAAACTCCATAAACCTGTCCTCCTGAATTGATTTTACTGCAGCATACTTCCCCATTTTTTATATTGTATGTGTTATTTGACAGCCTTTTGATAAAATATAGAAAAGTATTGGTGCAGAGGATTTGCATGGAGCAGAATGCTGCACCAGAACCTTTGGGAAAATAGGATTATCTTATATTCATGTAAGACTGTTCTTAGGGTTGTCAGACGATAAGCAGTGCAGGAGGTCAGGGGTTAAGTCTACATATATGTCATAGGTCACTGGTATTTAAAGTTTGCACACTTTGACCTCTTTGTCAATCCTCCAAGAATCCTAAACATTTACATTTAAGATGCTAGGACTCTGCTCTCAGCACTGATGAGAGTCATAAGCAATAGTCCAGTGTGGGTGGAAAGAATGCAAAATATTTTATTTGTTCCTTTTGGTCCGTGTTAGGGTGGTTTCAGTGGCTCTTTCTTTAATCTGAGTTTTAGTTACACATTTAATATACTATCCAGTGAATAGTGGTAACAGTTTTATTATTAGTTTCAAAAATATTAATATTGTAATTTAATGATGGTAAGGCTTATTTATGCCTTCATATAGTGTTGTTTTTGTTTCAAAAAATCCCAACAAAGGCTAAAACCATCAAGTATCTCATAACTGTGTCCTCTCTTAACCTTTCAGTCGCAACTCAACTGGTGCCTGCTGAAGGCGCACGTATTCAAAAAGTGAGAAGTATCTTCCTAAAACTGTTGATCTCTGTATTATCTGGTAAAATTAAACTCACACTAGTCAGTTGTGCATTTGTTGTGAAATACATGTTTGTATTGGGTCACTCCAGCAATAGATTACAAATTTCCATGAAGTCAGAGAACTTACAGGAGAGAAAAGTCAGAAAAAACAGGTCAGTGAAAAGGAATCCAGATACCTTGACTTTTAGTTCAGCTCTAAAAATACGAGAACCTGCAATTCCATGAGAGATGACATCATCAGGGTTATATTTTCATACATGACAAAACTCTTAAAGTCAGTGTGGTGTCTCTTTAACAGCAGCACAACACTAACTTAGTATCAAAGTAAATGCTATAATTGTGATTAGAATTTTACAGCTGAAATTATGGTAATAAGAATAATAATGATGATAAAGTTTGTAGACGTTTTCTCACTCTGTGAAAAGTGATTCGAAACATGGTCTCTGATGTCCCCTAGTGGCAAATGTGACTTTTGACACTTGCTTGTAGAAAAGAATATTTTCAC